GTGAACCAAAAATCGACAGGCCTTACTGTTCACAACATATCCAATAAATACACAATCCACTGTTTTTGGGTCCAATTTTCACCCTCTTGGGTAAATGAACCTCTACCTTGGCTAAACACCCCCACACTTTGAAATATTTCAAGTTGGGTTTCCTTCCTTTCCATAACTCATATGGAATCGATTGTGTTTTACTTCGGGGTACCCTGTTAAGTATTTTTTTAGCCGTAAGGATGACTTCCCCCCACAGGTTTCGCAGTGAACCAGAACTGATTATCAAGGCATTCATCATTTCCTTTAATGTTCTATTCTTCCATTCCACCAAACCATTTGATTGTGGTGTATAAGGTGCAGTAGTTTGATGAATAATACCATATTCCAAACATATCTCTACAAAATGAGATTCGTATTCTCCACCCCTATCACTCCGAATCATTTTTATCTTTAGATTCAATTGATTTTCCACTTCATTTTTGTATTGCTTAAATGCATCAATTGCTTCATCCTTACTATTAAGCAAATATACATAACAAAATCGAGTGTAATCGTCAATAAAAGTTATAAAATACTTTTTCCCACCACGTGATGGTGTCGACTTCATATCGCATATATCTGTGTGAATTAAGTCTAAAGGTTTTGAATTTCTTTCAACAGACTTATAAGAATGTTTAACAAACTTACTTTCTACACAAATTTTGCATTTTGATTTATCGCATTTGAAATCAGGCAACACTTGTAAAGTAATCAATTTCCGTAAGGCTTTGTAATTTACATGTCCCAAATGGACATGCCATAAATCATTTGACTCCAATAAGTAAACATAAGCAAAATTCTTATTAATACTGTCAATAACCATTACATTCAGTTTGAAGAGGCCCTCAGTGAGGTATCCCTTTCCTAAGAACATCTCATTCTTACTTATTACAACTTTGTTACTAACTAGGACACACTTAAACCCGTTCTTAACGAGCAGTGTAGCAAAAACTAAATTCTTCCTAATAGTAGGACCGTACAGAACGTTGTTCAGAGTCAACACCTTGTCGGATGTCATCTTCAACATAACTTTCCCAGTTCCTGCAATCCTTGTTGTTGCTGTGTTCCCTATGAATAAATCTTCGTTGAACTCAGCATGAGTGTACGTTGCAAAGGCTTTTTTTGTAGAGCAAATATGTCGAGTGGCACCTGAGTTGAGAAACCACTCCTTAGGATTTCCAACTAAGTTGCACTCCGAGATCATTGCACATATGTCATCTACATCTTCCATCTCTTCCACAATGTTTGCTTGACTTTTGCCTTTGTGTTTGTCTTTGTCTTTGTCCTTGTCCTTTCTTGGAGCACGATAGTCAGAAGACTTGTGACCAGCCTTACCACAGTTGTAACAATTGCCCTTGAATTTCTTTTTGGCCTGTTCTGACTTCTGTCCGTTGGACTTCTTTCTCTTCTTGCATTTAGTAGGAGCTTCTTCAACAATATTAACTCCAATTATTGTCAAACTCTTACGAGACTTCTTTTCGGCGGTTTTGTTATTTTCCTCAATCTTGAGTCGAATCACAAGATCTTCAAGCTTCATTTCCTTACGTTTGTGCTTTAGATAATTCTTGAAATCGTTCCACAAATGAGGCAACTTCTCGATCATTGAAACCACTTGAAAAGCTTCATTTACTACCATATTCTCAATAATTAGATCATGGAAAATAAGTTGAAGTTCATGCACTTATGATCCAACAGTTTTACTATCTGACATTTTATAGTCTAAAAACTTTGTGACCACAAACTTTTTCAAACATGCATCTTTTGTCTTATATTTCTTCTCAAGTGCATCCCACAATTCTTTCGAAGTTGTCATTGCACTTTAGACATTATATAAGTCATCCTCTAAAGCACTCAAAATGTAGCCCTTACATAGGAAGTCTGCATGTTTCCATGCTTCAATAATCATGAATTTTTCTCTATCTAGCATTTCAACAGCAGGCACTGGAGTTACTTCATTGGTAAATTTTTGCAGACCAAGAATGGTAAGCCAGAATAATACCCGTTGCTGCCATCTTTTGAAATTCACACCAGAGAATTTTCTCGATTTCTCTGCTGGTGGTACAACAGTTCGGGTTGGTGCAGCAACAACCACCGTCACATTATCATTTGTCATTTCAGAATCAGAATCTGTAAAAAACAGAAATTGATACAAATGACTCAGTAAGCAATAACTTAAATTGCAAACTTAATAGAAGTATAAAACCACGAAGGTTTTTGTCCCAACAAAGGTTTTTGTCTCCGAAGCCGAAGCCGAGGCCGAGCGATGACGACGACGGCGCGAGGGGGGTCTCTCTTTCCAACCCTTTTAACAATTAATATGAGTTTTTTTATATTTAAACCCTTCTATTTTTCTTTCCACCGACGGTGAGGGAGAAATGTCTTTTCACTAAAGCATAAGCGGACTTTTCAAGTTCCCAGCTCTTCAAGTTCCCAACTTTCCAAGTTCCTCTCTTTTCATCTTCCCTCCATTTCCCATTAACTCTTGCTACGTACCCAACACTTTTAACTTGTTATTTATCAGCTTCTTGGCTCAGACTTGCATCTAGACCTCTTAAATTATTTGCAATCCGCTACGCATAAGGAAACACTTGCATCTAGAACTCTTCACAATTTTATGGTATAATTAGAAAAGACAACACCAAAATATTTGGATGCAATAAGAAAAGTTAGAGATGAGCTTCAACTAGATTTAAATTTTAACAAAAAACAAAACAAAATAGAATCATATTTCACTGAATTTTCTTAGATATATTTATACTTTTAAAGAATTATTAATTTATAATATTAATGGGACTATATATTTATATAGGGATCTTCTGAAAAAATTATTATCTTATTATGTTATCGAAATGAGTGATTTTTTTCATTGGCCCAAGTCGAGATCATAGGAAATTATTATCTTAGACAAATTATTAATTAACCGAGTATTAATTTAGTGAGATTTTACTATAATTGAAATTTTTACGCTTAATTTTCAACATGAGATTAGGCTTGGTGATAGTCCAAAGCACCATGCATGTATGTCGTAGTATTAGTCTTGCTCTTCGATATTTGTTACCATATGTCGTTGTTACAATTTTTTCTAAAATTATTCCTGTGTGTTGATTTTCGTATTAATTGTGTGGTTTTCTTTTTTAGCAATATTTTCTTATTCATAATTATTTTGATTTAATATAGAGATTGCGCGTTTCTATATCAATTTTAATACTATATATAATATAAAAACAAAATAAAACAAAACTAGAATGAGTCAGTTTTACTGGTCCATATGACAATGTCCCCACAAACAGCTTTATACAAATCCAAATAATAATAAAGTAGAATTCACGTGCCACCAGATTATAAATGATGCTGATTGAAATAAATATTAAACGTGTAACAATTTATCAGCAGTGCATATACAGGAGGGGGTCATCGAATTCACGTGAACCCATGGTCCCCTTTCGAAATCGTATCTAGTATTGTTATAATTTTATAAAATATTTAAATATAAATGTGTGAACTCAGACTCGAAGTATCATATAATGTAGTACGATGATGATTGGGTGCACCTCTCTAAGTGAGGTTAGAAATTTCAATCTTTTATCTATCTTGTTTTAGTTTTCTTTCTAAGATTTTGTAACTAGTTTGGATAAATAAAAGTTAATTTTGGACTTATGATTTTAAAATTTTATTGGTTTTCAGTAAAAAGAATCTAACCGATCAAATTTATGTCTTAGATCCACCTTTTTGTAATAGTGCATCCATTATCTATAAATCCTGAATACGCCTCTGTTTATCAGCCATTTTATCAATGAGGTGTGTGAAAATTGATTGAAATAAATATTAAACGTGTAGCAATTTCCTATTTTTAATTTGCTTGAAATAGATTTAATATTATGATCCTATTATTAGTAGGATAATATGTATTCTGCAATGAATTTAGTCCTAATCGAAAAATGTTATGTTTAATCGTAATATAAAATTACATTTATATCTTGTAGTAATTTTTCATATGGAGGAAAATTTTGAACTTAAAAAGGACAAATAAGTCAATCAACTTTTTAAATGAGATATTTTCCTAAAACAAGTTTTTAGTCTTTTCATGTGAACATTCATGCAGAACTCCAAAACATGTGCACCACATATATTTTTTTGCGACATCTCCAAATCTTTGTAGTTATATGTATGTTGTATAACCTTAAATCCAATAATTCAAAAATAATACTCCTTCCGTCTTAATTTATGTGACACTTTTCGAATTTTGAGATTCAAACAAGTCTATCTTTGACGGTAAATTTTTCATTTATTTTTTAATTATTTTAATTTATCAATTATTGTGACTTATAGTATTTTTACGTAATTTACAAATATATAACTTTCATTTCAAAAATTTCGAAAAATGCAAATTTTCTCTCGAAAAATAAAAAACGCCACATAAATTGGGACAACCTCTTACATACATACACACAGTTTCGGACCCAGAATTATTATTAAGGGTGTCGACGATTGTAGTAAGAAAATGAATATAATTATGAAGCTGGTAGGACTTGAACACACAACCTCAAAGAATTTTACGACGCCTTTAACCACTAGTGTATATATACACACTCACTTCAACAACATCTTCTACAAAAGATTGAACAAACTTCAAAGTTGTTTACCTTGTAGATTGAATATTGATAGCCCTGCTTCTAGCCATGACACAAGTAGAAAATCATGAATTTAGCAAACTGAAGCAAGATGAAGTAGCTATAGTTATGGTTCCATTTCCATCTCAAGGCCATCTTAACCAACTTCTCCAACTTTCATGTTTAATCTCCTCCTATCATCTTCCTATCTATTATGTTGGTTTGGCAACACATAATCATCAAGCCAGGATTCGAGCTAAGGCGTTAAATCCTTCAAACATAGCCAAAATTCACTTCCATGACCTTCCAAATCCTGAACTAATTGCCTCATCAAATCTTGAGACAGTATGGGATGTTTCTATGCTTCTTCGCGATCCCATTGCTTCTTTCATACGCGATATTTCAACAAAAGTAAGACGAGTCGTTGTTGTTCATGAACCTATGATGTCTTATAATGTACAAGATGTTTCTTCTTTGCCCAATGCTGAATCCTATATATTTAACTGCATTTCAGTTTTCTCTTGCTATATTATGATGTGCTTATTTTTAAAGATTTCTGGCCAACATGAAGAAGAATTGCTTAAAAAGCTTTACTCCTTTGAAGGAGTTACAACAGATGAAGCTATGGACTTATCAGATTCTCAACATCCATATATGGATATTAGATCAGGTGATATCCATAATACAAGTAAAGTAATTGAAAGCAAGTATATTGATTTGATGGAACAAGCAGAGATTAGTCTGAACAAGAAACAATGGGCAATTGGACCTATTCTGCCTACTAAACTCGATTATATCTCGAATAGGGAGAATATATGTTTAGATTGGCTTAACAAACAACCTCCAAGATCAGTTCTTTATGTATCTTTTGGAACAATAAATTCATTTTCTGATAGACAAATCAAGGAGCTCGCGATGGGATTAGAGCAGAGTAAACAGAGGTTTATATGGGTGCTGAGAGATGCCGATAGAGGAGATATCATTAAAGGGGAAGCTAGAAAAGTTGAATTGCCTGAAGGATTTGAGGAAAGAGTAAAAGAGGTCGGGTTAGTGGTAAGAGAATGGGCACCACAATCAGAAATATTGGCTCATTCGTCTACAGGCGGGTTCATGAGTCATTATGATTGGAACTCTTGCTTAGAGAGTATTACTATGGGAGTGTGTATAGCTGTTTGGCCTATACACACTGATCAACCAATAAATGGTTTCTTGGTGACAGAAATATTGAAAATAGGCCTGCTTGTTAGAGATTGGGGGAAACGCGAGGAGGTAGTAAGTGCATCCACTATTAAGAGTGTCGTGAGGAAGTTGATGGCATCAGAAGAAGGTGGCCTGATAAGAAAAAGAGCAGAAGAATTGGGAGAAGCTGTAAGACAGTCCACAGAGAAAGGGGGTGCTTCTCAAATAGAGTTGGATTCTTTCATCGCGCATATCACAAGATAGACTTGGTTTCTTTCTAGCACTTTCTTCTTTGAATTTCACTTTTCAAGCAGTTTGGTTACTTTACTATTTTCTTTTAACTTGCTTTTTTATCAGCTTCTTGGCTCAGACTAATATATGCTACCTTATATATCTTTAATCTTTGAATGTTCTGTATCTGAAATTTTTTATGGCTCAGTGAGATGATTTCTTTGTATTTCTCTTACTGAAGAGCACAACTTAATCTGGTTCTAACAGGGAAATGTTTTCTGTTAAGCATAATACATAAACAAATACTCAAACTTGACTTTGAGAGTATACATCTAAACACCTCAATTGACAACTAAATACTTCAACCTGTCTTCATTGTGTCTCGTGAACACCCAATGCTAAAGTGATACTGTAAATCTTGAAAGAGTTTAGATGATCATTTTGCAAGTTGGAGTGTACAACTGACACAAAGGAGACAACCGATGAGTTGAGGTGTCTGTGCATACTTATGAGTATGAATATGAAACAACAGAACACAAAGAAAAAGGAGAATACGCAAAGATGCACATTGTACACTGCTGTATTTCATTACATTATAGTGTGCTTACTTATTTCATAGTTTCCTCACTACAGGAGAACTGCCACCAAAGGAATTCTCATTTACTCATTTGCCTTGTTTATATTGTAGATTATAAAATATTTTATGCTTTCACTCATATTTTTGAAATTCCCCCCATATTAGATGGACCAAAAAGAAAACGTCACATAAATTGAAACGGAAACGGAAGGCGAATTTTTTCCCCTGCCTGTAGATTTATATAAATATTCAAGATGTCTAACACTAGTCTTAATACATGTGTTTTGTCTGGCCGGATGTGTCGTAAACGGTAAACACCTGAAGGCTGTTCTCATCCCTGTGGGGGGAGACGACAACCGTCTCTCCTCTCTATGAACACAAGAAGTAGCGTGTACCGTCATTCAATAAGAGAGATGCAAAGAGCAACAGCCATCCCTGATACCAGCGAGATAAGTTGGATTACTGTATTCACTAACGTCGTCCTGCCACTATTATTCATTTCAGCCAACACTCCAGCAACCGAAATGTAGATGAAACCGCCAGCAGTGAATCCCTGAAAGATTATATTTGAAATAAGAGAGGTACTCTTTTATGAACTCGATAAATGTATCTGACTGACAGCTTGAATAAGAATCTCACCTCAATCAATGACGAATGACCAGAATCCTGTCCCAATGTCAATGCCTACATAGCATAACACAACATGGTTCAATCAAATGTGATAAGAATAGCAGAATCTTGATCCATGCCAACAGATAGATTAATACTGACCAGTGCAGTTCCGGCTAGTGCCACTAGTGCAGATAAGAAGTTAAAGAAGAGGGCTTTGGAGACGCTGAACCCAGACCTTACCAAGATTCCAAAATCACCTATCTGCATAGCAAAACACATAATAAGGTATAGGGATCATTACATTCACGTGAGAATGAAGATGAAGTCATGGATTTATGAGGGTAAAAGAATGTCGTGCAGATGCGACGGATGTGAGACATGAGATGAAGATAATTTATCTTGAGTGCTGTAATACGCTAAAATGTTGGGAACTTATGATAATGGAGAGAGCTTTTCATGGTTGGAGGAAAATAACATGACCAGAAGAAGTGTTACATTAAAGAAGAAAAGGTTAGAAACTTGACAATTATTTTTAGTACTGATTATGGCCGAATTTCAATTGCACTTAGTACGCCAGTATGGTTTAAATGATTAGCTTGACATAGCATAATTGAGAAAACAAGCAGCACAAGAAAATCCAGTTGGTGTGTTGGACAAATAAGAAAGTTCTTAAAGCCTGTCTACAAGGATTCATCAAGTCTGGCTTCCATAAATCACATTACTTTTCCTGACTAAGAATTGACGGATTTACAGGTCAATAAGACATAGAAAATGTTGTCGTAGAATCATGGATAAATGTGATCTAGTTTGATAAAATCACCAATTGAGCTAATGTATAGTTCCTACATGAGCTCAAAACTGCATACAAAAGTTTAGTCAAGCAATTTAACAAATAAGAGACAGAGAATAGAGAAATGATAATCAGAAATGAATACTGCAATCATGTTTTACTTCATTGAACTTGCTGATTCAAAGAAAGAGAGTAACTTCTGGCATCTACATGCAGCTGCTTGTATGGGTAATCAATTAAAAACATGCAAACGCTATTGACATTGTAATGTAGAAAAACTAGAAAGAAATATACAAGACCTCTTGAGGGAGCTCATGTGCGAGAAGAAACAAAGTTCTTGACCACCCACCAACTGATCCATGAAGGAGGAATGCACTTCCCAAAGCCATCCCATCAGTAAAATTGTGCTGTACCATAACATAAATTCTCTCAATCTAAATGTTCACCAGCCAGATATGTCTAGTTGTTTGTGAGAAATCATAAACAGAGATGAAGGCTTATGTAGCAGTCATACAACACCATCGGAGAAGAGGTTTAGATAACCAAAGACAAGGCTTGAACGTGGTTTAGCCTGTTCCTCTCCAGTTGATGTAGAATTGGTAGAGCAATTTGCAGCATCTAAAGCAGTATTGTCTTCAGCAGCAATGGAGCCAGTATTCCTCTGCCATAGCTAGCATATGAGACGATAGAAATAACAACTATATAACTGCAAGCAAATAGATATTCAATCACTGCATATCTTTTCTAAAAATCTCTCCAGTGGCTGCAAAGACAAACTATTCAAAGAGATCTTCAATCTGGGAAAAGACACTGCAGAATTGATAAAACCGATGAAAGACACATTAGACGTATAGCCTATTTGGTCAAGCTTCTGGGAAGCCAAGAAGCCTTCTTTCTTTTTTTTCCAAATTTGTTTATTTTAGCAAGCTGAGGTGTTTGGACAAGCTTTTAGGAAAAAATAAGTGCTTATGAGTAGTAGCAGAAGCTTAAAAAAAGTAGCTTTTCCGCAGAAGCACTTTTCGAACATTGGCCAAGCACAAAGAACTGCTCTAATATTAGCAAAAGGGGTTTTCGAATAGATTCAAACATAAACTGCAATTGCTTATTAATGTACAATATTGTTCACAAGATTGAATTTAGTTCAAGTCAAGCATGAAAACTGGAAAGAAACAATTTGACAGCAATTACATTGAGAAACCTTATCTTGACAAAGTAGTTATTTGTGTTTTGGTAAGTGCCTCACAGCATGTTGTGCTGAAGGAAAGGTTCACAGGACCCTCTAAATTCTGAATAAAATTATTATTTTCCAGAATTTGTTTTAGTATTACGTGAAAGTTCAGAAGTGCAGATCATCCAGACAAGAAATACACTTCACTGAATCTCAGCATGGGAAAATATGGAACAGCAAATTTTGGGGGATGTATTGATTCTACCTTCCGTAGAATAGCTCCTCCATTTGGTTTCTCCCCATTGGGAGAGTCAGCAGACACTCCATCCACTCTACTCCCTCCAGCTGCCTTTTCTGATAAACTTCCATCTTTCTCCTGAGACAGTTCCTGGAGTTTGTCATCAGCATCATTATCATCCTTCAATTTTGTGTAGTGCATATGATGATGATGGTGATGACCATGACTCCGTTCATTGACTCCTCCAGAAAAATCTTCAACATACCTCACAAGCTTCTCAACAATAAGAAAGAGCACAATTCCAGCTGCCAAAACAAAAGTATCATGAAACATTCAGCAGTGTGGCAACAGCAGCAGTTAAGTCAATGACAGTTCCTTTGGAATATTTTTTGAGAAGAAAGTTTTTTTTTTTTTGAGAAGAAAATAAACGCAGCTAAGCAATGAGCACATAGCGATTAGCGAACTATTCTTTCCCCTTTCCTTTGGAATATTTGAATGCTAAACGGTCTGATATTTCCTATTTTGTTATACAGAGCAAAACCTCCCCAGTATGTTTCATGCAAAACCATTCTCAAAAAAAAAAAAAAAAAAAACATCCAAATTTCACAAAATGAATAATGAAATTTAAAAGCAGAATCATGCCCAAGAAACTTACCCAAAATGGACAATCCAACAGAAAGATCCTCCAATGAATGGGCGTGTGAATGACCAGAGTGATCATGAAGATGGTCATCATGTGAGTGGGAGTGTCCACCACCTAAAAGAAGTAATCTGTTTGGTAAAATTCTTCAATGCCACAAATAGTTAAAGGCAACAATATTTGGGTTTAGAAAATAGACACCATATATGTCTGATATATCACCTTCCTTCTCTCTCACGAATAACTATATTCTAATAGCACCTCTAAGGATATGCATACCTACTAATTAGATTATTACTGCCTCCGTTCCAATTCATTTGCTATATTTTGACTGGACATTCTCGAAAGAAAGAAAGAAGATATTTGGCACATCGAATAAAATATTGAATTTGGGATAGTTTGATAGGTCATGAGTTTAAGAAAGAAAGAAAACTCTTTGACGAATTGGATAAATATTCATATGAAACCAAGGGCAGCCTTTTACAAAATAATTTACATTCCTGTTTTTGGAAAAAAGGTTTATCAATATAGAAAAGTACCCATCTTATTAGAATGGACACAAAAGGAAATAGTGCCAAACAAACTGGGACAGAGAGAGTTATTCTTTCCCAGAAAATGATGCTCAATCTGACCTACAGTCTTAGCTCAGGAGAAAAATATTCCCACTAAACAACATGCATCAGCACAACATTAGGACAAAGACGAGCACAACAAAGTTATTCAATCTCTCCGACATGAACTAGACAAGTGAATTGAGAGTAGTGAAAGGTGGAAAGGGGAGTTACCCAGGCACTCAGGGGCAGCAAGTTAAGCAAACCTGCCTTTGATGGTGTAAGCTAGTGAGTTTTAGTAGGCTGGCGGCTTCATGGGTAGACATCTAAGAAGCATGCCTGATGTAAAGACATCTCGCTTATGTCATTTTAACAGTTATTAAGTTAAGTAAAACCAAATTATGACGGAGTAGAGCTAACAGTTTATGGTATTTAAAGGTAAGGAGCCAAAAAGCAATAT